AGGGGGCTCTGGGGACAGACAGACAGACAGGGGGCTCTGGGGAACGGACGGCTAGCCAGACAGACTCTGCCGGCCGAGTGACATCTCCACTCCTGCCATCGGTGGAAGCCCCTGGATCCAGCTCCCCAGCCATGGACCCCCCCTCCAACCTGTCGTCCCCCTCCAACGGCTCGTTCGTGGGTGGGCTGCCGGAGGCGGTGGGGCTAAGCCTGCTGGGGGCGGCCGGGGCAGCCGGGAACCTGTACACGCTGGCGGTGGCACGGGCCGGGGCCGTCCCCAACCCGCTCCACGTCCACATCGTCCACCTGGCGCTGGCCGACCTGCTGTACCTGGCCGGGGTGCCCTTCGTCGTGCACAATGGGCTGGCGCGGGACTGGCACTTCGGCGAGGCCGGCTGCCGGGCCCTGCTCAGCCTGGACCTGCTCACTATGCACGCCAGTATCTTCCTGCTGACCCTGCTGAGCACCGAGCGGTGCCAGGCCGTGCGGCGCCCCTTCCGGGCCGCCCGCCGCTCCCCCGCCCGCCGCCGGGCCCTGGCTGGGGCCGCCTGGGCCGCCGCCTTCGTCCTGGCGCTGCCCATGATGCTGATGGTGCGGCAGGAGGAGCGGGCGGCGGGCGACGGCCGGGTGCGGCGGCTCTGCGTGCCCACCTGGCACGAGGCCCAGTACAAAACCTACCTGACCGTGCTCTTCGGCACCAGCATGGTGGGGCCCGGGCTGGCGCTCGGGTACCTCTACGGGCGGCTGGCCCGGGCCTACTGGCTCTCGCAGACCCGGGGGGTGCTGGGCCCCCGGCGGGGGCCGAAGCAGCGGGTCTTCCTCCTCATTTTCCTCATCGTCGTGGCCTTCTGGGTCTGCTTCCTGCCCTTCTGGCTCTGGCAGCTGGTGCCTCTCTACAGCCCGGGCACAGCCGCCCGCCTGCCCGTGGCCACCGAGATCTACATCAACCACCTGGTCACCTGCCTGACCTACAGCAACAGCTGCATCAACCCCTTCCTCTACACGCTGCTGACCCGCAGCTACCGCAACTACCGACAGGCGCGACGGGCCGGGCGCAGGGCGGTGCCGCGGGCACAGGATGCGGGGCGCTGAGCAGCCAACAGACCTCCACAGGTAGGGGGGAGTGGGGCAGTGTGGGACGGGGCACTGCTGGGGGAATATCGCAGCGCTGGGGAGAGGAGCCGCGGGGCACTGCTGGGAGAAGATTGCAGCGCTGGGGAGAGGAGCTGCGGGGCACTGCTGGGAGAAGATTGCAGCGCTGAGGTGAGGTGCTGCAGGGCACTGCTGGGAGAAGTTCGCAGCATTCGGGAGAGGTGCCGTGGGGCACTGCTGGGGGAAGATAGCAGTGCTGGGGAGAGGTGCTGCAGGGCACTGCTGGGGGAATCTCGCAGCGCTGGGGAGAGGTGCCACGGGGCACTACTGAGGGAAGATCACAGTGCTGGGGAGAGGTGCCGTGGGGCACTGCTGGGAGAAGTTCGCAGCATTCAGGAGAGGTGCCGTGGGGCACTGCTGAGGGAAGATGATAGGGGCTAATTTAGCTACAACTAATCAGGAAAGAGATCTTGGAGTCATCGTGGATAGTTCTCTGAAGACGTCCACGCAGTGTGCAGCGGCAGTCAAAAAAGCAAACAGGATGTTAGGAATCATTCAAAAAGCGATAGAGAAAAGGATGGAGAATATCTTATTGCCCTTATATAAATCCATAGTACGCCCACATCTTGAATCCTGCGTACAGATGTGGTCTCTTCATCTCAAAAAAGATATATTGGCACTGGAAAAGGTTCAGAGAAGGGCAACTAAAATGATTAGGGGGTTGG